TATTTCACGGACTACCTCTTAGACACAAAAACATGCACACATTGCTTATTCCCATCCCCATAAGGTGGTCTCAGTCAGTTGTAGTTGTCTACTGCATTTTATACTGACCTTGTGCCAGACATCAGCTCTATTTGTCTGAATCTGGTCTGGGATCACTGTCTGCTCAGTTGCGGATGGATGGATGGATAGATAGAAAGAAAGAAAGAAAGAAAGAAAGAAATGGGGAGAGATGTAGGCAGATAAGGCAGATAACCACGACAGAGAGAGCTGCGATCGAGGGAGATGGACAGAGAGAGTGAGAGATGGATTAGCATGTCAAAGCCTCTCTACATAACATTACTCTTGTTAAGTGCGCAATAGCTCATCGATCAGGCTTCTACCACCCACATTCAGGGCTCTTCCCTCCACTTCCTTTCCCGTAATCCATAATATCATCTCAGGCCTGTGCCGGCTGCAGGAGCCCTCTATGGGAAAGTCTGAGCAAGGGCTGATCAATAGCCATAGAGCATGTGCAGCGGATGTATCTTGAGAAGCAAGGCGTTGTTGACATCCTTCTCCCTTTGCTAATCTCACTCACTCATCTGTATAGTATGGATCGGAAGCGGGGAAAACTGGACGGCGCCTGTCACTTCCACCATCGCAGAATCTCTCTCTCCTCTCTGTCTCTTTCTGCCTCTGCCGCCCCATGTCTTTTTGTCTCTCTATGACACTGTATCTGTCCTTCTATCTATCTCCCTCTCCCTTTCCCCTTTGTCTTGCTCTCTGCCGTGCTCGCTGCTCAGCGCCCGCTCCATTTATCAGGCCGTGTCATTGAGCCATGTGTGCTGTCCCTGTCAGCAAAACGACTGGCAGACTGTCTTCATTTCCACGCTGAAGGATGCGAGGCCAGCGTGGCAGTTGAGAGAGCTATCGACTGGGATCCATCAAAGCCCTCCCTGTAGGGAAGCTGCTGCCGCCTGCCTTCCTGGTTGGCGGCCATTCTGAGCTTGTCCGGTTTACTCTGAAAATGGCGATATGTATGCTGTAGTTTTGGTCCAAGTCTTATATCTATCTATCTATCTATCTATATAACTACTCATCTGTTTTTCTCCATCATTAACTATTTCTGTCTATTATCCTGCACTCTCTCTCTCTCACTCTACCCCTCCCTCCCACTCTTTTTCTCTCTCTTTCCCATAAGACACAGCCTTCTCAGTCTGGGCAGACAGGTCAAGCTGGCTGATGGGAATCAGACAGTTGTTGATCCAATTAGACATCCCTCGAGCAGCGTCAGAGTACAGCAGAATTCCAATAAAATACTGTCCTCTTTCTTCCTTTTCCCTATTCTCGCCAAACATGTCCTTGTAGTAATACACAGCAAGCTATCCAGATGACTTTTCAGAGATGCTTAGCTCATAGAACTTTAAGCCAGGGACCTGTAGGAACCTTCATCCAAAGTTATTATTGAGAAGTGGAAAGCTTCCTTTCACTGAAGCATTTCAGAGTGACATATTTTGGTACAAGTGGCTGAACAGTTCCTTCTGTTGACCCTCTTTAGGGCTTCGCACACACCAAGAGCAGTGTAAGGCCAGCCCAGTTTGACTCTAAGCCCTCGTGAGAGGCCTCTTTTGTAACTGTCTCGATGGTGTAAAGCTGGCTGTTTCACCAAGCAAAATCTTTTACCCAGCCTTTCTGCAGCTCGGGGGCATTCCTGCATTGATTTCACCATTCAGGCCAAACAGATGTACAGTCAAATTCTGAGCATCGAAGGAACGTATGACGTGCTGACATTGATGTATTATAATACATGTGCTGATTTGCATTCATGGATCAAGATGTTATTCAGCTGGCCTTGCGAGACCATCCGGAGCACGCAAGCTCTCTTTGTCTACAGATATCAGAAAGAAAAGCAATGGTGAGATTTGATGTTCTCGCTGCGCTGGCTGTTTTTCCGCAGACAAAGGGCTGATTTCCCCCAGATGACGGCCCCTAGGAAACATCAGTAACAGCAATAATTACTTATGCACGCAGCACTAAGCTTCAATTTAAATGGCTATTGTAATTGCACCGTCTCATACAGAAGTACATGTGCATGCACTTATTGGTTCATTTTACTGGGTGGTGATGTGTTTATTGATGAGTAGAAAGCCATGACTATCTCCTCAGAGCCAAATACACAGTCTGGAGCATGACTGAGCCGAGGCTATGATCAGATGAGGCTAGCAGCACAGACATCTTACTCTCACTTAACTATCTTGCACTGCCCCTCTTGCAGTTGTGTATATGTGTGTGCATGAGTGTGGTTGGTCTTAGTGTGCACACTCGGAGGCACACATGCATGTGCTATGTCTGCAGTCACCCCTCATTAACGTGTTTACCAGTTCCTACGGCAACCCACATAAAAAACAATTAGGCGTTCCCATGGAGCACCTTGTTAGCGGTAGTTGTTGACCTCTGACCAAAAGCACTTTATATCTTTTTCCCATGATTTAGGCTCATTAAAGGGCAGCAAATTGGTTCATAACTGGAGGTTTTTTTTCAAGCGGCCCCCTACAATACATTTACTGGAGCTGTAGCCAGGGTGAAATGTGTTGTACTTTGAGCCTGTGACCTAAAGACGCAACATCAGCAAGCTAGCATGTTCAGCCAGTGGCCTAGTTTATTCTGGGCTGTACCCATGATGACTGTGTGTGGTGAGAGGTCTAAGTAAGGTTTTTTGGCTGGCAGTAGTTTGTAGTGTGTATGTGTGTGTCTTTCTGTGGGTATTTCTGTGTGTTTTCAAGGGTTGTAGCAGAGAGACTGTAAGGGCAGGAGGAGGGTGTGTGTGTTAGTGTGTGTATGTGTCAGGGCTACACAGGGGTGAGTGTGATCACAGGGTGGGTGGGGTGGTGTGAGGCTGTTGATCTTGGGCTGGAGTCTTAAACAAATTGGCTAGTTCGCTGTGGGAACTGGGGATGTAGTCACAGGGGTAACGTCAGCGCTCTCTGTGTCAGATTCTCCAAATCTCTCGGATAGCTAATTATCTCCCAGAGTGCCAGAGGAGAGGTTTGGAAGAGGTTTTGTTGTTTTTATTCTGCAGCGTCTCTCTCACTCTCCCTTCCCAGCAACATTCTCCTGGGCTGACTCTGAAAAGTTCGGTCCCATAGTAGACCCTAAAGCCACATAAACACACTCAACGCTTACTAGAGAAGTGTGTTTGGCCCTATAGTAGCCCTTGAGCAGTATAAATGCACACACACACCATTTATGTTAGTGCCACAGCCCTCTGCTCATTTACATCTCAGACACCTACTGTAACTGCAAAGTAATTCTCAAAATGTGCCAGCATTTACAGCACAGACATGTCAGACAATAAAAATGAATAGACACATCATTATGTTAGCTCATCAACGCCCAAATCATTGGAAACTTCACTTGACTTTGGGGTGTTTTATTGCTGTCACCACCGTGTCAATCCCAACACCATTATCTTTTTCTCCCGTCTTGTGGCGCTGCATTATTATCAAGGCCCAAGCGCCTCTAACATCTGGGAGCGGAGATTCGAGCGTCAACAATTCTCTAGGTGGGTGTTATATCTGGCACGGCATGATGAAAGGTCCCGTTGCTCACCTCCTGCAGACAGTCCCGTCATTGGCCTGCGTCGTCACAGAGTGGTTGTGTCAGGCGCTGCCAGGCCTGTAATGTGAATGCGATGACAGGAGAGCCGGCAGGTCTCCTCTAAGCCACCAGGTGCAGGGCAGCAGTGGTTCACGTTTGGACAACCTTGTTGGTTCAGTGTGTACTGTACTGTTGCTGAACTGTACAACCTTCCCAGGGAATAAGTCTTTGATCTTGGTGTAGATTCTCACTCTACCCCTGTTTCCCCCCCTTGTTTCTCCCCCGTTCACCCACCTGTTTCACTCTCTTCCCATTTTTTTGTGTGTCTTGTTTCTTCCCTTCTCTGTACTCCCATGTTTCTTTTAGTTTATCCAACTGGCTCGATTCCCATCTCTCATCTCCACAGTCTGCTTCCAAAGAGATTCCGATCTCACTGACGCAGACTGAAAAGGGGACGGACACTGTCCCCCAGATCCCCAGCCAAGTGAGCCACCCGTTTCTCACGAGAGAAGCTCACTAAGACCTATTTCCTTTCTCTGCTTTTTTTCTTTCACTCTCATTTTTCACGGAGCCTGTCTTTCTTCAGATTTAATTTCTCTCCCTCTACAGTATCTCATCCTGAGAGTCCTCTACCTCAATCCATATTTATCTGTTTTGGTTCTCACCTGCAGCTCAAGTGTGAGAAAGTGCCCTTTGAGAAGTTATCTTTATAGGGATGTAGGTCATCTCAACACTTTCATCAACCTTTGCTGCAATTATGCATACAAAGGGTTGTTGAAACAGAGACAGATTAGATGAGGCCGCAGTACAGAGGGCTTTTTTAATTGGTTTAATAACAGCTATTTCATGTCATGTTTTTCTGCTGGTTGATGATAAAAATGGTAAGAGTGCCCCCAGTGTTCACTTCGAGATCAGCAGCATTATTATCTATGACAGCCTCTACTCAAGCAGCACAGCCCAGCGAGACGCTTGCACTCGTGGTTGGAAGTGGAAAAAGGCATAAAAATTTCAAATAAGAGAGGATGGCTGTTTGACTAAAACATGGAGGGATAACGCGTCAGAAAACAGGAACGCCTTCTAGAAATAAGCTTTGGCTGACAGAGCGGTCCTGCATTACCATCTCAGAGGTATTTACAAGAGCGATTACTGTGATTATTATTTCAACAATACACTGCAATGCTCTTTCATGGGCTGCCAGCCTGGGCCGGGATAGGGAGGGCCTGCCAACATTTTCGGTCTGGGAATTTGTCTAGGAGCTCCGTAGGAGGGCAGAGAGGAGGAACGGAGGGAGGGAGGAGGGAGAGACAGAGGTACGATGGTAGAAGAAGAGAAAAGCGACACAGTTCAAAAGGGCTCTGCTGTTTCTGAGGGGTCACAGTATGTCTTCCTTCTAACATGATTTTGTCCTCTCCCTCTCTCTGCAGCTCCCACGGAGCCTTTGCTGTGCAAATTTGCCGACGGAGGGCAGAAGAAACGTCAGAGTCAGAGCAAGTACCCTCAGAACGGGAGGCCGTGGCACAGAGAAGGCGAGGTAAGATGTTACACCAATGCAGAAGTAGTCCTCAGAAGGTCTTTCATAGCATGCTGGTAGAGTGCAGAACAAACCAGTGTTGTAGTATAGATCTCATCCCCTTTAGATTAATAGATTTTGTATCCTATGTGAGATAAGATTACAGATAATGCTGACGGTCACAAATTCAGTTAAAAACAACAGCAATATGCAATATACGTAATTCACATTTGTATTTAATTTCCTTAAATACAACAATTATTATTAATAACTAGAAGACCCAGGTATGGCCAAAAAATGTCAGTCAACTCTGTGAAACTCTTTCCATTCCAACATGATGACGTTCTAAACAGGGCGTTTAACTCTGAGGTAATGGTTTTTCTAATGGCAGGCCCCACCCAGGTAACAGGGTTCCTTGAGAAGTTGGCTACAACATCTGGCTTTATGTAAACCGTTGTCTGTCATTTGTATTTAGTCTAAGGTAAGAAACGGTTAAAAAAAAGAAAAATATCCCAGATATCGATCAAACTGCCCCCGGATGTATAGGGGCTGTCATGTAAATTGCATCTCAAGCCAAATGCCTCATTGAACACGTATATTCCTGCCATACATCAGCATGCTGGGAAACCATAAATTGGATACAGTGCTATGGTAACATATTCATCAGCAACATGTGGAGACAAGGTTAAAGTCTTCACAGGCTACCAACCAGCCATACTGGGAAGGACACATAAAGGAGACAGGTAGAGAAGTGTTTCAGACTGGACTATATAGTATAGAGTGAATGCACACACACACACACATATTCAATGAGGATGACAGTTGTGCTGAAACGGCAAGGTAGGGGAAACCAGGAGGGTTGAAATGTTTGTCCTTCAGAAAACACAGAAAACTGTCTGTGTGTGTTGGAAAAGGATTGGAGGAGTATTGCACTAGCTGAGTCTGCGTGTGTGCGTGCGTGTGTGCGTGCATGTGTGTGTGTGTGCGTGCATCTGTCTGTCCATCACGTGTTCAGAAGCCCTAACATCTATAAGCCAGTGAAGCATGTTTAACCTAAATCACATTGCTACATCCCCTCACAGGCCCACACATAGACAGAGGTCAGCTCACTTGACTTGAGGTAAAGTGAGATGACTGTGTGTGTGTGTGTGTGTGTGTGTGTGTGTGTGTGTGTGCTTCATCTTGAAGGTTGTAATGGCTATAAAGAAAAAGTCCTGCATTTCCAAAAAGGATAACATTTGGGCAACAATTTTCCTATCAATGTGATGTCTATATAATGTCAAAGCACAGGGCTTAAGGACCTAAGACCTGGGTTTTTGTCCTGTGTTCTACATGTTGGTGGATTAAGACAACTAAGACACTTGGTAAAGTCTAGGGAGAGTTTGTGGTTATGATTTAATATTTAAAAAGCAGATGCATCTTGTTTGAGTTGCCTAAATATAACTGTAACATTCTTCATCGCTTAGTTAAAACACTTAGTTGCCAGAATGGTGAAGGCATAAAATATTTCAGGAATGTTCAGTATGAACATTTTGCCGTGGCAATGAGCAGTTTGCAGTTTCTGTACAATTAATTTAAACATTTCCTCTTTATGTTGATCAAAATAAAAGTTTAAGCAGACAGGGTTGGTCTCACATAGGGCTGGGCGATATGGCCTAAAAATAAAATCTCTGATTATATTTTTTTTAATTCAATTTACGATTTTTTCCGATTTCCCCCCTACTTAAGGAAAGCAATAAGGTTTGTTGGTCAGTGCGGCTTTGTTCATCGCGGAGAGACTGGCATTTTTCATATTCGGCTGGATGTCTCTGTTTCAGGTGTTGGAATAGGTTTGTGGTGCTGCTGCCTTTCACTGCGATAGGCTTTAGGCAAATGTTGCAGCGTGGTGTCTGTTGTTCCACATCTGTCGCAGCAAACCCATACCAGTTCCAAACAACAGATGACTTTATTCCTTTCTTGGGAACAAACTTCCCGCTCTCACCGGTAGCCATTTTGTCGCTTGCTGTTGCTGTTTAGTGTATGATGTTGTCGCTATGGGAAACGAACACTACGGAAACCCCGGGGAGCCAAAAATGTGCTATTACACAAAAACTCGATTTACTTATTTTTTAAATCGCCCGCAACAAAAAATTCGAATTAATTCATTCAATCGATTTTTCGCCCAGGCCTAGTCTCACACATATTTACCCACTTTCTCTATATGATTTTGGCTTTTATCATCATGGCCATCATGAGACGCACACTTACTGTGTGTTCAGCATTGGTACAGTGCTGGCTGTTTGGGGCAAATAAATGCAGATATAGGCGACAATTTGCTTTGCTTTCAGTCTGAACACACCCTTACACTCACTTACAAATTTTTGTTGTCATAGTAAGAGAGAAACTCCTCCTCTCCATCTCTCTCTTCATTGCCCCCACTGAGAGGTCAAGGTTTAATAGCCTGGGTTCAAGGCAGTGTATGCGAATGTGTAAATCTGTAGCTGAACACTGGATGTGCTCGAGTGTGTGTTCATTTATTTTACTAAATGCGTTGTATGTCTTTATGTGCTTTTCTTTTGCTATCCTTGAGGGAGACAATCTGAAATTTAGACCTTCAGACTGAGGACATTTTTTACAAACAAAATACATACAATGTGCTTTGCACATCTATGAAATGTTAATGTTAGGGTTAAAGGATTATTAGACCTCATTTACACCTGGTATTAACATACAATCTGATGCGTTATCTGGATAATGATATCTGATCATACAGTAGAGCAAGAAGCCCGACTGAGACACGATTGCATTCAACTTGCAATGAATTCTGCATGCATTTAGCCCTATAGGGTCAACAGAAAGGCCCTTATAAGTATAGTATGCCATTCATGTGTGTGTGCATCCTTATGGTCATTGTTCAACTATACAGGTAGCACGGTGGGAGATGGGAGATAGGTATCACATGTTAGTCTGTTTATCAGAGCTGAGGCCATTTCTCACCTCGCTCCCTGTGGCAGGCATATGAAGTGGAGAAACAGCCCACACCGTCCATGTCTCTCTCTCTTCTCTTTCTCCGGATCTCTCTACCTTCTCCCTCTCTCTACCTCTACAGTATGTCTCACTCGGCTTGTATCTCTTTCTATCACTCTTTTCTTTTGTCTTTTTTCTGTCTTTAAGCGGTCTCTCCTTCTCACCGTCTCCCCCCCCCACTTCGTCTCTCTGTCTCTTCTTCCCCTTGTTTGAAGTCTTCCTAGATCCCACAGCAACATATGGGGAGAGAGAGAGAGTGAGTGACTCACTGAGACTAAGGGAAAGAAAGAGAGAAGGAACACATTGCATGATCAGTCAGGAGTTACAAGGGGTTGAGTGCTGCAGGGTGGCTGGTGGTAAGGATTGAGAAATATATGACAGATTTTCTTGTAAACTACCCAAAGTGGGAGTCTAGAAAGTGCTGTCTCTCGCTGTCTCATGCTGACAAACATATTAGTCACTGCATTTTTTTTTTCGCAGCACACAGACACAAGCGCCATGGGTGCTCATTCTTCTCTCTCTCTCTCTCTCTCTCTCTCTCTCTCTCTCTCTCTCTCTGTCTCTTCACTTTCACCAACACACACTCCTACACACAAAAACTTTCAAAGTCACACTTCTCAAGCACCTACTCTAGGGGAATGAGTGTAGATGAAAAAAACATCCGGCTTTCCACTCTGTGTGAAAGCCTGACAGATGTCCGTGTGTGTGTGTGTTTATGCGCGTGTGGCCACGATGTGGGGAGAAAAAATAGAGAGAGAGTCTGTGTATGGAAGGCAAAAATACAAGGTGTGTGTGTGTGTGAGAGAGAGAGAGGACACAGAGACGATGGCTCGGGTCAGATTTCCTGTATAAGAACAGTACAGCACAGGTGTCCTTACAGCTGCCTAATATAGGCTGTCCTCAACAACCACTTTTTAGGATTTGTGTGTTAAACACATGGATGCTTACATGTATACACACACAATATATTTACATTTGCATTTAAAATGCATTAACCAAAGCCATAAGCCAAAATGCATTTTGTACACCCAAGCGTACAGATATTGCAAGATAATTATGCACAACTTGCTAAATTAATGATTTCCAACAAGAAGCAGCAACTGAGTCATTCACCACTGCTTTTTTGTAAGTTTGTCAGCTGTCATTATGCAACATTTTAGCAGTTTCCCATACCTAGAGTAGGAGGTGTTTAAATTTTTTGGGATGTTTATGTAAAATTTAAATTCATAATCATAGGGAAGAAATGTTCTGTGAAATCATCATATCTACTGCATGGTGAGTGCTGCTAATTTAGCATGCAAAATGAATATGCTCTCTCTGTGAAAGCCAGGTCTGTCTGTGGCAGATTTTCTCAGGGCAAGCTTTGTTTACAAGGTATGTACAGTATAAAGCTTTGTTGTTGTTTTTTTCAGTCTTGGATCAAGCTCAGACAAAAACATATACAAACTGTCTCTGTCTTTTCCTTACCCCTTGTTGCGGAAGTGCCAAAAGCTAACTGCATCAACAATCAGTCACTGGTCATGCAGGGTTCCCAGTCAGGAGCTTCTCTGCTGTGGAATTCATCAGCACATGGAACCAAGGGCAGCACTTCGGGGAGTTATCAGCCTCACCAGACAGCTGGCCATGGCTGCCACTGCTATTAGTGCACATGTGAACACACACTCGTGCACACAAACATGCAGTGAGACTTCCTTTATGTCAAATTTAGTGTAAGGAGAGTGTATAAAATATTAAAACACCAAGACCTTTGCACATTGATAAACACTAAAGGTGAAAATATGCAAGTAAAGTAGAAGATCTGGGGTGGATGCAAGTCCGACCTTTACAGCTTAACATAAAATGTCTCTGAAAGCCTTTTAACTAGATGTGCAAATGCAAATTGAAAACAAAGGCCTACCACCACTCCACTTACTCAGACGTCCACACTTCCCTAGTATCAGCGAGGTCTTATTCATTTGGTCTAGGCACACTGACCCCCCCCCCCCCACAAAGCCTTTATTCCCTTAACAGTATAGCTCAGTGTAGGAAGCCCTCTAGAGGAACAAGGGCAAAAAAGTACAAAAAGATTAAGAGATGAGGGGTGAGGGATGCAGAGAGAAAGGTAAGGAGAGAAAGGGACAAAACACAAGATGATTGAGAAAGAAAGGAGAGGGAGAGAGAGAGAGAGAGCAAAGTGAGAGAGAGGAAGGGCAAGAAAAGGGAGTGTGTGTATGCTGATGAAATCTGCCGTCCTCAGCAGCCTCCCGTTAAAAGAAATCGGATTAGCTCTCCTCCGGGAGAGAACCTTCAGGAATGCAGATGACGGATTGTAGCGCACAGGTTTCTCTCCTGGACTCTAAGAGGGCCTCACACACCTACCTACACACACACAGACATACACACACATCGATCTAGACACTCTTGCACACACCTTCAGCAGACAAAGAACTCCGTTTTCCGCTCTCTCCTTTTCTCTCCAAAGGGCATTTCTTCATTTCCTCTCATTCATAAAAACATGATCGTACGTGATTGAAATAGAAAAATAGGTGCCCTCAATACCAATTCATTTTGTCCTATTGACCAAGCTTTTTTCCACGTTGGCTTTGCCACTTGTCAGTTTTTCCAATTTGAAATGAGTTGATTTTGATTTAATTTATTTTGAACAAAAAGAATCAGGGTTTAAATTACATTATTTCCCAAGTACAATAAAGGTACAGCGAATTATCTTGGTGACATTGATGCAAGAACATATTGACAGATTTCCCAGAGACATACAGAACACACCAGCACAAAGTAGACTGTGAAACAATATGGTCCAATATACTGTACCATTTAGAAGATATATTATCTGACAGCTGAAATGTTGTGACTGTATTAAATAACTGATAGTATGCAGGATTTCATTTTCCACCATTAAGACTCAAAGGAGTAGTTACACATTTTGGATGATACACCTATTTGCTTTATTGCAGAGATGCTCATAGATAAAAAGATTGATACCAATCTCATGTCTGCATGCTAAATATTAAGGTACAGCCAGCAGGCGGTTATTCTAGCTTAGCATAAAGACTAAAAACAAGCATGTCTTGTTTTGTTTTTTTTAAAGCTGCCTACCAGCTCACTAATGGCTCACTGATAAACACGTTATATCTCATTTTTTAAATCTGTATAAAAAAACATATATAAAACATACATTCAAAAAGCGAATAAGCATATTTCTCACAATGTAATGTGGTATCCAAATAAGACAAAAAATTACAGACCAAAGATTACGAAAAAGTTGTTTCACACACTTTATGTGTAATGTCTTTTCAATGGTCACATTTTCCTTATTGCAGTTTAATGCAATGTAGTATTTTTTTCTGATCCGACTCTCTTAATTTGTGTTTAATCCTGCGTGTTTATTGTTTTTTCTCTTTCAGACTGGCATGGCGTTAACATATGATCCTGCTGCAATGCAGAATGGGTAAGTGCTTGACGGTCAATCCATCCTTGGCACCATCTAATACACTCACCTCTTGGCTCATAGGACCCCAATCAATAACACTGCCATACATAAAGATTAATGTAGTGTCTGCACTTTGTTACTGTTTGATTAAGGAAATCTATATAGACTTCAGATATCGGTTTTCATTGGTTGGGTCAGGTGAGAAATGGCAGCGGGTAGCTCAGTTAGATCGTGTGTGTGTGTTTACATGTGTTCTGGACTTCATGTGAGTGTCTGTGTCTTTATGTCATGACTTAATGGTGCTGTGGAAATAAATGACCCAGCAACGTGTTTTATTTTTCCCCACAGTACTGAGACAGGAAGGAGAGGGCTGAGGTTCCCCTCTATCTCCCTCTGGCCTCATTCACAGGAAGCTCCTCATTCCCCGCTTCCTAAACCACTTATCCCCCTGTGACTCTGAGTCAGTCTCAACCAAAAAACTGGATGAATAGTATCACTCATTACACACAGCCTGCCATGTAAAAGCCTACTTTGCTGCAAATTTGCCAAATTATAATCCCACAGATGTGTGTGTTAAGAAACAGACCTGCTGGGAAAGGAAGGGTTCACTCTTAATACATTTGTGATCATATTCCAGAAAAAAAGGGAAATAGGGTGAATCAAGTCACAAAAGAATGTAAAAGTAGTCAACTTTATTCAAGTGTAAATCTAATGTAGAAAATCAAAAAAATAAAGTGAATCCACTAGCAAAGAATGTAGTATATAGTAAGTATAATTCATATGTTAGTACAAAGTTGAAAATGAAAATGCAGTTAATCTGAAAACAGAAATGCCACTTAACATTTGTCAGACTGTGCTCACTGGTAAATCAGAATTCAAGTTCAGATTGGTTTATCCATCCATCCATTATCTGCCGTTTATCTGGGGCCGGGTTGTGGTGGCAGCAGGCTAAGCAAGGTAGTCCAGACATCCCTCTCCTCAGCAACATGTTTCTGTTCCTCCTGGGGAATCCCAAGTATACAGTATATAATCTCTCCAGCGTGTTCTGGATCTACCCCAGGGTCTCCTACCAGTTGGATATACCCTAAGAAACCTACAAAAAGGAGAGCAGGAGCTCTACTGCGATCTCCCTCTGGATGTCTGTGCTTCTTACCCAGTATGTAAGAGTGAGCCTGGCCACCCTAAAAAGGAAACTTTTGGCTGCTTGCATCCACAATCTCTTTCTTTTGGTCACTCCCAAAACCTCATGACCATTACCATCTGGTAAGTTGAAAGCTTTGCCTTCCGGCCCAGCTCTCTCTTCCCCACAATGGTCCAGTACAATGTCCACATTACTGCTGTCACTGCACCAATCCACCTGTTGGCTTCACTCTCCATTTTACCCTCAATCTTGAACCCAAGACACTTGAACTCCTGCACTCAGCAATTCATTCCCAACTGTTTGTCTGTTAACAAAATCCCACTGTATGGGAAATACGTGCTGACTGAGGCCAGTGACTCATAGTTCCACCCGAGATCGTAACTACCAACCTGCAACCAGATCTGGTCAAAATCCTGTCCACAAGCCTTCTTCATCAAACTGCCTGTGCCCTGGAAGGATGCTGTGGAAGAGGCCTGAGAGCGCAAAAAGCTGTGTTATGCTGGAGAAGCTGCAGAGAGAGATGGAACGTGGAAGTATGTCTAGTGGAAGTGGGGTGCAGAGGCTTCGTTGCTCTTTCCACTGTAAGACTGCTGAGAAAGGTAGGAGTCAGAAGACAGAACCAGAGGACAGCAATCAAAGCCTTGGCCAACACCGCAGAAAGGATCATTCACTGGCTATGGCTGAAGAGGAAGACTCAACCTGGGCTCCCAAATGACCACAAGCCAAGCATAAGACACACACCCAGGGGTGATCATCCTTTGGTGGACCTGCCTCAACAGAGGGTGTCTTGTGATAAAAGGCAGAAACACCCAATGACATTAAGGTCCGCAACTGATGATGTGTTGCAATGGTAGCTCCACCTGGTGGTCATATCCAGGACTGACTTCATGCTGCTAGTGCTGAATCATCATGGATTGTAAAAGCAAGTCCTATTTAATGAATCCACCATTTTCCAGATTACAAGAAAGAACAATGGCACCAGATTTTGAGATGCTGACTCTCATCCCAACCACTTCACATTCGACTGCAAACCACCACAGTGCATGCTGAAGGTCACGGTCTGAAGCCAACAGAACCATGTCACCTGCATCAGCATTGCTCCTCCTAGATCTGAGGTTTTAACATTCGATTGCAGCCTCTGTAAGTCTTCCAAGGCAGTGCAACCACCTCTTTCTGCCACTCCGCAGGCAGTCCCAGCCCTCCTAAAGACATTTAAGAGGCATGTCAGCCAGTGCAGCACAAGAATGTCCACGTTAATATAGCATAGCCCTGATCGATCTGAACTCTTCTTGTGGACAGACCTGACAAAGCATGAATTCAGACTGCTGTAGTAAGCCAGATCAAGGGCTAATATTCGAGGGTCATGCAAATAATCCAGCCATCATATTCACACGTGACGCAAGGCGAACATTTGCTTCGCTTTGCCGCAAACTGAGCTTGCACATTTGATGTAGGTGACAAAATTTGGAAATGACCCTAAAGCGTTGTTATTACACCGACTAAGGAAATGTGCCAAGCTCTATAAGCTATATGGGCTTGGCATTAACAAATATATATATATTAATTGTTTTGCCAAATAGTCATAAGAAATCCACTATATGTTATCCAACATAGTGACGTTACTCATGTTTGGGTCAGTTAGATCCCAGAGAGGTCTAACTCCCTGTTTGGCCTCTTATGAGTAAACTATTGTAAAACATAAATAAGAAATATAGACATATAAAGACATATACATTTATTTGAGACTTGGGATTTGTAGACCTTTTTAAAAGGGACTGTAAACATTAAAAAATCCATTGTAAAATCTAATGTAATACACAACATGAAGAACTGATACTGTATCTTGAAATCGAATGCGGGGTCATCAAACCTAGTACATACGTAACTTATCTAATATCCTCGGCCAGTAATATGATCTTCAGCTCAGGTGACTACTATTCGACATCCCACGTAGCCTCCCAGGCGATCACAGCGACATTCAGTTACTATAAACCTTCAGCAATGAGATAAAGTAGTGTAGCCAACCACCTCCCTTCTCCCCAGCTCCTGCCTTTTGGAAATGCATTGAGTTTTCTCCTAGCTCAGCCTACAAGCGTGCTTCTTAAGCCAGCCAGCCAGTACAGTGTAGCCTTAGGATCCACAAAATACAGACAACCTCCTACTTTAGATGATGACAAATCTCAATTTGATGTGATAAAACCCAACTTTTCAATTGAGAACACTATAAGACACTTCATGAAATTTTTATGTGGAGGTCGAAATACAATATATGGCCAAGTGTTTGCTCTGCACAAGCTATCAGATAAATCCACAGTGTGTTTGTGTGTCTGTGTGTGTATTCTACTTTGCAAGAGTGGTTTTCTCCCTTAAATAGACAGAGTGACCTTTTGTATAGACAAAGATTTGTCAGTCAACACCATTTTTGTATTAAAGTAACAGAATTCCACATTTATATATGTCCTATATACTTATATGAATTTGACAAAGTAACTGTGTCTTCTCCTCTTTCTCTTCTCTCTACCTACCACCACTCACATTTCCACTTTCTTCACCACTCTTTCTCTCCCTCCCTCTATGTCCCTTCTCAGGTTCTACTCTTCGCCTTACAGCATCGCCACCAACCGCATGATTGCACAGACCTCCATCACGCCCTTCATCGCTGCTTCCCCAGTTTCCACATATCAGGTGGGCCTTAATGCACTGAATTATGGGTAGATTGCTGTCTGTGTATGTGTAATAGGAGGGTTTGCTTTGTGTAAGGGGATGGAAGAGAGGGGGCGGGCTGCAAAACAGCGTGAGGTTCTCTCTTCTTCTCTCAGCGTTTCTTCGCTGCTCCAGCTGTGCTCGATGACATCTGTTTCGTAGGCGGCAAACACAACAGGCGTCAGAAAACAAGCAACAAAAAAAAAAAGCTGACAGGGTAGAAAAAAATAAAAGCACCCATCAAGAATGAAAGTGTCTAGGAAAAACAAACACTTTCCTCCCTCCCCGCTTCCTGACCTTTTTTGTGCTCCCTTAGCGGCTAATGCAATAAAGGCTTTTTTAACTAACTTCGATACAATCGCTTCCTCTTCCAAAGTGAATTCCACATTCCTCACTGCTATGATCTGTGGAGTAATGAAACATTACAGAACAGTAACGTGAAAATTGGCTGTGTGAGATGTCAAGAGCGTTAAACGTTTACCGTCACTGCACATTTCACGCAGCACCCTTTGCCGAATCTGAACATCAAGAGGCACTGCCACTGTGCCTTCTTGCTCAGACACTATCGTTTAACATCGGCTCTGTTTGGTATGCAGAGACAGACAGACAAGGATAGTACGTAAGAGAAAGGAGATGAAGGATAGATGAGAAAATAGAAGGAACAGATGGAGAGAAAGACAACTAGGGAGAAGAGGAAGGATAGCATGGGTGGTGGTGATGGCTCGGGTGGAGTGTGTGTGTGTGGGGGGGGGGGTTGTTGAAGGTTGCTGTGTCCGTCTTTGAGGCACGCTTGATTAAAACTCTGGTCCAGTACCTGCGGTGGAAGGGTAGGGGAAAGAGGAGGAGGGAGAAAAGTGGGCCAGGGCGCGTCTCTAATCCGCTCTCGGAAGGCTTCCCAAATTGATTTATCAAAAACAATGGCCAGGCTTTTGAGGAATATTAATCCTCACAGTTTCAATATCGGGCAGCTCTGCCACCGCTTCCTGTAATATTGCCCTTCAGCCAGTCACGGCAGGAAGGTGAGTCCTTCATCTTCTGTTCAAGTACAAAGACAAAGAGGAAAAAGAAAAAGAGAAGACAAGCCAGGCAGCCATATATGCCAGACAAAAGGAAATCACTTCCTTTTATGATTGAAAGTGTCGCCTTTGTTATGAAGATCTCAAGGTGCATAGAAATACCTGTATATGCCATTCCTTCTTTTATGTTTATGTTAAGTGGATATTTCTTGAGCTACTAGTTTGATGGCATTGATTTATCAAATCTGCAAATGACCCATGCCAACAGCAGTGTTCTGGTGTTCTTTTAAGCCTTGCTCCGGTGAGCTTGAACGATGATTGGCTTTGTTTCCTGGAAAAAGAGCTTTGATGATCCACATGACAGGAGCCAGTCCAGGCCAGATCACTACCAAGATCTCAGCTAGTGCTGCCAGCCAGCCGTGGCCTGGTTTACATCACTGGCTCTACAGACTGCCTCACTGGCTGACTGAAAATGTTGCTGGCTGATTGGATGTGTGGCTGGTGGGTTCACTAACCAGCTAACTGGCCGGCTGTTTGGCTTTATATGTGAGTGGTTGGATGGATGACCAACTGGCTGACAGTTCGGCTGAACGACTGACCATCTTTTTGGCTTATTGGCTGACACGAGGTTTTAAATGGTAGCACAAGCTGTGAAGTTCAGCCAAAGGTAGCAAGCTTCTTGGGTCATGGACATTATATCATTAACTCACACAGAGCATACTGTAGCTATAGAATAACGGCAATTGTCTAACTGTTGTAATGTAGAATAAGCAAAACCACTCTAGCAGGGCTGTTTTTAGGTCATTTGGAGAAAATCCATGTCAGTCAAGACAAGCCCACATCAAGTCCAACACTTTGTGGCCCAGGGCAGAGCACCCCAGGCTTTAGAGGCAGCTGCGACAACGTCTAACATTTGGGATGAGAGGCTAGTACACTACTGCCCCTGCGTACAGGGTCGCAGGGGCCCATCGCAGGGCCACACATAGAGAAACAACCACTCACACTTACACCTAAGGACAATTCAGAGTCACCAATTAACCTAGTCCACATGTCTTTGGAGGGTGGGAAGAAGCTGGAACACCCGGAGAGAACCCACGCAGACACGGGGAGAACATGCAAACTCTACACAGAAACAACCTTCTTTCTGTGAGGCGACAGTGCTAACCACTGAACCACCGTGCCGCCCCATCATGCCTTTTTGCCTTTCGTTATGAGTTATGAGTGCCATGGCATCGAACATAATGACTGAGAGCATGTGCAGGAGATGGGGTCTGCAGATCTGAATTCCCAGAGTTCTGTAACTCTACTCTCCAATCCTTCCGGGACTCTGCCTGGCAGAATTTATCAGAGGAGACGGGGCCACTCTTATATTCTGAAAATGCAGCAAAACAATAAACAAGCTTTGGTCAAGGTACTGCCACTTCTGTGCAACCTCCAAACAAGAGGAGGGGGATATTGTGAAGCCAGTCGTGACCATGGAAAATAACTGTATGGAATACTGATTTCACTGGTAAATATTTATTTAGCATTACACTAGCTCTCTAGTTCGTTCTGCATTATTTCATGTTGTATTCTGATTGGTTGGTTTGCAAACATGGGTCATAGCAGTAGTCACATTGTGCCTTTGATCCTAAATTTTGGTCTCTTTGGTCACCAAAGCTAAATTGGCCATGAGTGGGTTCTTTATCATCTGAATCACTGTTTTTTGATTGACAACCAGAGATTTCACCACATTTCTTTCACGACTGTCAGCTTTTGTCTGGAACAGCCCAAAGTCACACAGTATAAACGGTCTGACTAGAGTTGAAGTCTCAAGACTACAACTCTTCTCTCACCAAATAAATCATCAAATAAATCACATGATGGTCATGGAGTATATAGAAAATGCTGAAAATAAGTGATTAAAGATGAGCTTTTTTGCTGCTGTCCCATTCAGCTGGGGAGAACAAATACTGCCATGTATAAACAAACAGACTTGGCTTCATGTTATATAATATCAAGCTTGTTTAGGTGTGGATCCAAATCACGCGTTTGGGTTGGCTCAGAGGATTGATTGCTCTTATAGCAGATTATTCTGTGTTTGTCTTTGTTTAATCTAATCATTTTACCAGGATCAGTGGCCAGCCTGTGTGTTTGTCTGCTACAAGCTGTCTAATTCCTCTTTCCAGCACATCTAAAAGCTCTGTTTGTTCCTCCATTTCCCCAGTCTCTTGATCATTGTCCCTGTCACTGTTTCATCATCTCTTTAACTTTCCCATCCACATTTGTAAATATGCATGTCTGTATATGTTTCTCTCTGGTAATAGCTTGGCATACCTCTAAATTCTGGCCAACAAAAAAGAGAAGTTCTGTCTACAGTGTCCAAATTCCTTTTCTTTTCCCTTTTCTTTTTACTTTTAAATAATAAGCTGTCTCTCCCTTAAATTTTTCCCAATGTTTCACCCTTCTTGCAACAGCACTGGGCATGGCATTAATATGATTACAGAGAAGGAACCTAATTTATGGGCTCTATGCACAAGTCACACTGTTGGCAATAATGAGAAGACAGGGGGGAGATTTGCTGCCTCCAGACTTTCAAATTATTTTAGTAATTCTTTGGCATGACTTAATCTGTGTAAAGTTCAGCCATTTTGGTGCATTAAAACCAATGCAATCATTTTAAAACCTCCAGACTCAGGAGTATTTGAACATATTGTGAATATTTGAACAGCATTTATTGCTTTATGTGGGATAGTAGTTGGATCTGACTAAGATAGAAGAAAATTTATATTGTCACTATCGTTTTACATTTTATGTGTTTCTCCTCAGGTCCAGAGTACGTCATGGATGCCTCATCAACAATATGTTATGCAACCTGCAGTAAGTACTCTACCATTCACCTGCAGTAGTTGCCCATGTCTCCCCATTGGGGCCCGCCCATAGCGGAAAATCTATGGCCCGCTTCTGGATTTAGTCACAGTTGTTGAAAGGTTTTAGTTGAAACTTTATTTCACAATCGTGCTGAAAATAGTTTACAGCATGAAGTTTTTTTAATTTAGAGCAATACAAATGATCAGAAAAATACATCCTGTCTGGAAAAACATTTAAGCCACACTCTTTCTCTGTTGCGGGTCAAATGTTAAACCAACTAAATTGCATACATACCATTACAGGACCACATGAAAACTTATGATAGCTAAATGATTACACCACTTTTGTCCTGCAGTTACTATACACAGCTCTATAAAAGCATATAATCCCATTCTGATAACCATATGTTTCCATCTTTCCTAAGTATACAAACACATTTTTTTTTTTTGGTCAGGAGTTTATAGGTGTTGAATGTGCCAGGAAGCGATTCAGCATCATTTACCAGACCACAACACAATACAGACAGACTGTTGCTCTGGGTTACCATCCCAGACAGCAGACAGGAAAAAAATTTATATTAATTAGATTTAGTTCCCCAAAAACAGTCTGCCACAGTACAGCTGAGGTAGTCACATTGCATCCAACAGTATTCGGTCATCATGGTTGAAGAGTACAGAAGATTTGTTTTCTAATAGCCCAAAATATGTTGTTATATATGATATGATGTTTCACTTTTTTATTGCATATCAGACAACAAAAACAAATGTTTCAAGAATGTTTCTAGAAACTAAAATAGCAATTCACGAATCACTTTTTAGATCCATGCTGTCTGTAAGTATTGTTTGGAATGTATCCCAGGTTTTCCTCCTTAATGTTGTAGCAACAAAGAGCATTAGTAGTTTAGTAAATTGTTGTAAGCTTGAGCTTTAATTGATCCTAGCACCATGAGTGTTCTCATTTGGTTGCTTTGTGGAGTTAAATCAGTCTGCCAGAAGCTTTAATGTTTGCTTGAGGCTTTTTGCAGCCCCTGGAGCACATTCCGTGTACATTGTTCTTCATTGCTCATGAAGGGCTCATGTATTTGATTCTTGTGAAACAGTTTCAAAATTGACTTCTTACTTAAAGTCTGCTAAAGGACAGTGCCCTGCAGTACAACACAGAGAGCACTTGAGTATTTCATACAGTAGAGTAAAACATATTGATGTAAAAGTGTGCCATACTGCTGTGAAGTACATTATAGCACAGTACATAATAAGCATGTAAATCTTGTATATTGTTATTGAAGCAGGATGTTATTTTCTCTTTGGAAAATAAATTGCCACCCTGCGGGTAACGCAAGTTTTTTTTTTCTAAACTTAGCTCTAATGAATCACACAGCCACATAATTTAATTTCATACAAATGCAGGTGAAAACACCTTAACTGTTAGGATTTATGAGCCAGGATGTTTGAGAAATATCTTGCTGTTCCAGGTTATGTCACACACTGTATCGTTGCCAAATATCAACCTGAAATCCTTATAATGATACTAAAAGTCTGAAAAATTATTATGTATATGTGTTAGTATTCAATAATATAGAGTAATTGCATCTCCAGAGTTAACCAAGAGGGCAAATTTTCATCTGGTACAAATGTTAGTAGGAACCCTAAAAATAAAATTGCCCAATGCTTTTTATGAGCGCTTACTGTTTGTACTGTCATTGAAAACGATGTTTGCCTCAAGCAACCGATGAAAGTTTCCATAGAACTATTAACTCAGAAAAGACAACCTGCTTGTAAGTCTCTGTTACTGAACAAATTGGGAAACACTGGACTCCACAGCTGATGGTCCGGCACCCACTCACTGGAGGAGTGCTCAACCAGCCGCGTGGCTCCCCGCTGTGGCCATTTACCACTCAGTCCTACCCATCTCACTTCCACTCCCGCTGTGGGACAGTGAACATGTAATCTGGTCGCAGCAGGCCACCAGCCAGGCAGACACACACACACCACACCCAGCTGCAGCTGCCCTCCAAGCCACTCAGTTTGCCTTTCAGCCACACAACCTCCTGCCTTTCCTACGAGTATCTTAACTCACCCAGCCTTCTCTTCCCTGCTGCAGCTTGCTACCTTTGCAGTCAGGGCTGCACTTTCCTGGTGACACTTGTTTCACACAGGATTAAAGCTAGCTCACTAACAAGCTAACTGTTTTTGCTGCTGGTGCTGAGTCTGCCTGTTGAGAGTGTAAAAATGTCATGGGTGGTAGATAATAATACAAGGTGAATCACAAGAATGAGATTTCTAATAGTGTAACTGCTCAGCATGTGCAATGTCGTCTGTTGTGTGCAAGTGTGTATGTGTTTGCTTCTAGATACAAGTGCACATAGGTATGACTGTATTTGTCCATGCATCTAGATGCACCAATGCGTGTGTTTATTTACATGTGCGTACCATTTTCTTCATGATCTGGGATCTTCACAGACTCTCTAGTCATGTGTTATGCTTTACCTGTCAGCACACAAACAGGACATGCACAACCTCATCATCTATGTTTGTGTAACTGCTCATGTTTGCCTGATACGTGTTTGTATGCACTGTATGTGTTATGTAGTGCCATATGTGTCGTCCATACTGGTTATTCCCAACCAGCCCGTACGGCAGCCTGACGGCCATCCATCTTCCAGCCTTATGTCATGAGGCCTCTTGGAGGAATTGGCAGTAGCCACTAACCAATAGCCGCATTGTACTGTAGTGTACAACTCATCATGCCTTCATGCCAGCAGTAGCCATGTGTCCATATCTGTCCCCATGGCCCCATCGTCCCCATTGTGTTCCAATGGCTCTCTCTGTCACCAAATGGCTGGTAGGTGCTAACCCCAGCTGTCACCACCGTCAGTGGATAGCTACCAATCTGTCTCCCTTTATGACCCATGCTTATATCCACTACCAGCTACATACACAGCAGACTGCCCCTTGCACACACACAGCTTGCCACCAGCTCAGTGAATCACATCAAATTGGCTCAGGGGCCTACTCAAAGCATTAAAAACCAATTGATTGTGGTGCAGTTTGGCGGCCCCCACCACGTGTCGCATGTTAAACAAATGGAGCGTTGTGCAATGGTGCTCCTTGTGTCCAGGCAATATGGAGGCTGCCATGCATGGAAGGGAAAGGGGTCACAGCTAGCCAGTCGGACTGTGTAGAACAGAACAGACTTTGTGTAATTGTATACTTGTATTGTAATTATTATACAGTAACAAGAAAACTGGATTCACAAAGGAATAGACTAGCTGTCAAACTTTAATTAAACTAGAAAACATATACACAAGAGTACAAATAAAAAGAGTAAAACGCATCAGTTAGTCCACCGGTAAATTAACAGTATATTAAATTGAATTTCATATTAGCAACACAGTAGCTATGAGCAACAGAGTGTTGAACCTCTATGAGGTTGACAAAAAAAGAGTAAAGCACATAGCAGTTTGCCCAATAGCAATTAGGCCTATAATTACATAAAATGCCTATTAGCAACACATTAGCCCCACACACTTAATTGCTAGCATGGTTAGCGGTAAACAGATGACAGTAAAACTGAACAAATGAACAATTATTAAGCAGCTATAATTAAAGTTTATCTATAGATAATGCTTCAGCCAGGGAAACGACGTCAGCAATATCTGTTTGCTGATCACCTATCAGACAAAATGCTAGATGTAAATGTCAAATGAGCTGTAAATGCAGGTGACAGAAGGAAAAATGTAATATTCTCTGCTAAGGTACATGACTGACTGTTAGTTTGGATATTCCGGTGAAAGCCACAGTTGTGCTTTTAATGCTTATTTGTTATCTGTACTTTCTACGTGAGCCTAAAAGAATCACTCATCCCCTATTAACTCCTGCTATGAAAACAATCTGTCTGGGGGAGGATCTTCCAGTGCTCACTAAGAAATTATTTCCTCTTAAGAGTAGTAGCTCTCACTAGGAAGCGTTGTTTTTTCCCCACCAAGTCCTGCCCCCTACTCTGCCTCTGATTGGGTAATCCTAACCCCCTCTTAACCTTGACCTTAACTTACTTTAACTAATGGAGGCAATGAATACTAACCAATCAGAGGCAGAGTTGTTGAAAATCTGGTGGGGGGAAAAAAATGCCACTAGGACAAATTGTTAAATAAAAAAACGTGTTAATTAGCTGCTGCTGGTGCTGTGTTCCTTCACTGATTTGTTTACTTATTTTGACGTTTCTCTTTATTTCAGCCTTTGTAAACTTAAACTCCATTAGAAGATGGTATTAAATAATAATTTGTTGGAAATAATAGATATGATAGATATGTGTGATGTGTTGAAGTTGAGAACAACTTGACTGAGAGTTTGCTTATTGCACAGTAAACAGAGAGCATTGTTGCATGTAACGCTTTGGCAGAGGTGTTTTTATCTGACTAGATTAAGTTTGACAAGTCCATCCATACGAAACTGGACTTCAGTCCGCAGAGGAGCCAGCACCTTGTTAGCAATAAAATTGAGAGAGTGAGGAGAGAACAATTCTTAAAATTTATTTATCCTCTATTAATGGGAATGTTTTGCAGTCAGCATGGAACGATAGAAAGTGACTGTTTTTTAAAGTGGACAGCTAAATGAGGTTGCAGCTTGTTCTCCCAGGCGTTGTTGTTCTTTCTTTTTTCCTCTGTTTATCACTACTCTTCCCTTTCTCTGTGTCTCTCATACTGTCTCTTAGATCTTCTAATGCTGTGCTCTGTTTGGCAGTTAGGCGTGGGATGTCAGAACACCATGACCACTTTCTTTTTCTGCTCTGTTCTTTCTTTCGTCAGTGCTACACAAGTCAGCAGACCTTATAGAGGGGGAGAAAACTGAAGAACTAAAGGCCCCAAAAGACAAATACACACATGCAGCTCACACACAGATGTGCAACTGCCTGAACACTATATTTTTTTAGTGCACGTCCTTAATGGTAAATCTCACTTACGTGCAGATCATCAATCACGCACATAGACACTCATATTCAATTTATGCTGC